AAATATTTTATTTCTTGTGTTGTATAGTTTTGGCATCATCAAAAAGGGGGAAATTGTTAGTACCCAATTTTGATAGATTTTGATGATGCCACTATACTTAGTACGTGTACATTGTGTCTCAGTTTTATTCACTCAAAAATACGTGACAAAATAAATGTACAATTTTTTAGACTAAAGAAATATTACCGGAAAAGTAAAAATGCAATAAGGTAATTTTTATTTACCTTAATAGGATACTTAGATCCTACCAGAATATATTATTTAGCTCAAAGATTAGTTAAATGTCACATTTTAAAGTGTAGAGGTTCGAAAATCATATACATTGAATGTAAATGATTGAGGACAAATCTTGACCGGTATTTAATACCGAATCAAGTACTGGGGGCCGCGGCATGGGCGCACACATAGAAGATACTCTCAGCGCCCAAATTATTGAAGACAAGAGAACAACCGCATTAAATACTCCAGCACAAGAAGACGAATGTACAACTCATCCTTGCCAGTTCTTCAACGTCCAAGATCAAACTATCCTAACCAACAAATAAGATTGATCAGCCAGAAAAGCCTATAAATAGAGACTAAAACGAAAGTTTCTAACCAAGCTTTGAGCATCCAAAGTAGAGAAAATATCCTTCGAGCATTCAAGAGCTATCTAGCAAAAGAGAACGTGCAAACTTAACTTTACTCTCTGCTTGGACTCATGCTTCACTAAACTTCCAGTTCACAAGCTATTCATTGCTAAATCTTAGAAGTTTAGTTCCTAGTTGGAGGTTAGAACTTTCTTGTAACATTTCAAAAATTGTTGTAAACACTTAGGAGAACAGTTGTTCGGATCCTAAAGTGTGGGTAGATAGATAGAGTACCTTTTGATCCCCACTAGTTCATTAGAGAAAAGTCTAAAGACTGAGTAACTTTGAGTGGTGCTATACTCATTGTGAAAAACCTTCAATCTAGACCTAAGTGTTGTAAAGGCTAGATTGACACTAAGTGTATTGGGCTTAATACTTTAGTGAAATTCATCTGAAAGAGGGTGGGACTGGACGTAGGAGGATTACACCACCTCCGAACCAGGATACACTGTGTGTTGATTTACATTTATTCAACAAAGCACACACTTAGCACTTCTTACAAAAAGATTGAAGTTTGCCAGCAGAATCCTAAGCAGTTGTCTTAACTGACCCAACTGCTTATCCTACTGCTTAATTACTTACTTTCTTTGAGACCATTTTTCACAAGAGACGTGCATCAATATCACGAAAAGGCCTGTTCTATCAGTTTCCAGAAATTCATTTTCTAAGTATAGCAGTTGCCTCAGCAGTCCCCTGGTGATCACCCAACTGCTGAGCCCTCTGCTCATATACACTTGTTTCTCTTGAACATCTCAATATCACCAGATCTTCATAACATTACCAACAAGGAGGTTGACCAAACTGCTCTCTGAAAATCACCTTCTAGACTAAGCAGGTACCTCAACAGTTCCCTCATCACCATTCAACTGCTGAGACCACTGCTCAAATAAAGCTCCTGATTACTTTTACTAATGCACATTTTCTGAAAGCCCTCATCATTCTCAGCAACATTCTATCATCACTTTCATCAAACACCCAATATTTCATCGGCAGTTGCCTTGGCAGTTCCCTGCTATCTAGCCAACTGCCAAGCCAACTGCCAGACATTTGGGTTCAATCTTCTACCAAGATAGAAAGCATTCAAACACTGATTCCATAAAGGGTAACGACTTCCGCTGTGCATCTATAAATCTCTCAAAAGATTATAGATCAACTCTTTAGAGGGAGAAACGCTTTAAAGTTGAAAAAGACTTAAAAGTCTATTCACCCCCCCCCCCCCCCCCCTTCTAGACTTTTACCCTATCCGGGACCATCATAAACTAAGACCTATATATTAGTGACTAATGTAATTGTAATGGCATTGGTCATTTAAAGGAACGTGCATGGCGCGTTGATAACTAGTAAATAAAATACATGTGTATTAAAATTTCAAGGTAATAATACCTAGAGAAAACATGGGGGGGCAGCCCCTATTAGCCACCATGTTGGGCCCGCCGTTGTATGTGAAGGCAATGGCAGAGTCAGGATTTCGTCATAGGGGACCACGAAGAAACACACACAATACATATAAAATTCACTAAATAGGATCAAAACAAAAATAAAGTTCATAAACAGTACGTATTATAGTTTTTTTATTCTCAAAATATGATCTATTCATTGCTATTTTAACAAACTTTAATCAATTTGTTTTTTAAAGGACTATATAAGATTTATTTGAGGAATAAAACATATTTTTTTATATTTTTAATCATACATATGGAATTATTTCATGAGGAATGATCTTGCCAAAACCACCCAACAGGATCCACCGTCTGACCGCCTATATTTGAGGTACTTCCAGGTTGATTTTTGTGGTGATTTTTTTTTGAGAATTTTTTAGGTTTAGTCCCGCAGATCCGAAAGCCCAACACGAACTTTGGATATATCAGGAAATGTATCAGAATCGAGTGTATAAAGAAATGTAAAAGATGACTAATTGATTGCTCTAAAGCTCACTTTGTATTAAATAACTTGCTTGATTACACGGAAACCTCCCGATCGATACGTCGGAGTACTGATTAATACAAGAACAAGAGTGATAATGCTATTCTAGAGCTTGAGTACGAAAATGCTAACATTTACAATGAAATTAATCCTTCTATTTATACTAATGGGGGGTATGGGGGGCTTCATGTTGATTGGTTGCTTTATCTAGCCAATTGGAAACCCATGCTTTAACTTGATGCCGCCATACTTTAGCAATAAATGCTCCCTGCCACTTGTTGGCTACCCGCTGCCCGAACGGGTAGTGGACCCTGCTGGACTCATCATTGCTCTGGCCCAAATACGTTGATTAGACCGAACCTCGTTCGATACATTGATCTGGAATCATCATTGATCTGGTCCATTATTGATCTGGCCCATCATTGATCTGGCCCAAGTACGATAATTGACCCGAATCTTGTTCGGTACATATTTTTCCATGAGCCTGTTCATCTTCTGGATTATGGGCCCGTCTATCGAACTGGATATCTTGGGCCTTGGATTCGGGTATTGGGCCTGCGGCCCAATATCCCAACAAGAATGTTTTTCAAGATGTTTAGATTATTTACACCAAATTTTAGTTTAAAATTCAACGGGGAAGTCAATTAAATAAATTATTGAAAAACACTGCGCCAAAATGTATATAAAAAGCAATATTTTCCATAATTCATTTAGTTGACGTCCCGGTTGAATTTTAAGTTGAAATTTGATGTAGTGCACAAACTAAATTTAATGAAAAAGATGGTTACAAAATTTTATCAAAAAATTATACCCAAAAGTATCTCAAATAGAGTCTTCTATCAGGTAATTCTAACCTAATTTATTTTAATCATTTCTTATTTAATAGTAGTACTAGTACAAAAATAAAAAAGTTGGGAAGCAAGGCCCTCCTAACCCTATACCTCCCTGTGTCCCTTGGACTGAGCCTTTGGTGCGCATGAGTGTAAGATCTTCTAACGTTAAAACTGATAAAGTCACTGTGATTACAACCTCTCATATGTTCTATTAGATCAAGACTTGACAGACTTTTGTACTCGATCTTGTTAGACAATTTAAAAAGTTGTTTGATGGATGGTTGGATGAATGAGTGACCATTACTTGGGAAAATGGTTGTAAATGGGACTAAAGAAGATTGAATGTGCATATGTGGGACTGCTTTTAGTTTTAAACCTAAATAGGACTAGATTTCCATTTTCTTCCTATTTTACCCTTAGAGTTGTTCGCTTCAGCCAACTTCCACAAAACCTCTAATCTCTTCTCTTTGTCTTCAGTTTCGCAGAAGCTTCAGCGGACGGAAAACTCCCGGAGACCTGGACGCCGATGAGATAATGAAACATGATGAACAGGCGGCGATCCCATCGGAGAACTCGGTTTCGTCTCTAAGTGTCCCTATTTTGCTTCATCTTTTCGTCGCAGGATCAAAGCTCTGTTTCATATTTGGTTGTTAAAAAATCCATATCTGGTTTGAAAATGCCATAAAAATGACATTCATCCTCTTCATAAATTTCATGTGTTTCCTTTGAAAATGCCATTTAGATGGCATAAAAATGGCATTCAATTTATGATGGCATTTTTATAAAATGTTGGCATAAGCAGCGTCCTTGGCCGGATCTGCAGCGGCGGAGGTCGGGTGTGCAGCGGCGGAGGTCGGATTTGTAGTGGCAGCTGCCAAATCTGTAGGGGCGGTCGGAGGCTGGTGGTTGTGGCCAGATCTACGGTGTCGTCGGCCAGATCTGCGGCGGACACGTCCAGATCTGCAGTGGACGCGGGCAGATATGCAGCGGCGACCATTCTGCAGCAGCGACCGTCAGCTGCGGCCAGCGACCTGAGGCGGTTCGGCATTCTGTCGGCAGTATGTTTTGTTAAGTTTCAGGGTATTTTTGTCAAGCTCCAAACAAAAAACTCCCATTTGGGGAAATTTTAAACTCTAGTCCTATTTTAGCATTTGGAGAAATGTATTTACTCCTCTCGCATCATTGCATCAAATTGCATTCTCTCCTGCATGATTTATTGATAACGAAAACCACATGAAATATTGATAACGCTACTCGAATGAGTAATCCATGCTATGCAAACCCATCACTTATTATTTTGTTGGGTCAGTGCAGCGCTACTCTAACTTTGAGGTACCCAACCAACCAGTTACGACTGCGCATGCCAACAATCCCCACACGTCACTTTCATGGGCCCCAGAGACAGACACGTATCAGGGCCAGACTTAAGAAAGAAGATACTCTCAATGGGCCACATCCGATAAAGGCCCAGGTCGTGATTGGGCCATGACGGAATGGTCTGAAACACGCCCACGTGGCTAGTCATGTAATCCCGGGTCCACCGCCCTGGCCCGTTCAGTGGATCGGTTATTAGCCAATTTCAGTCTCCACCGGCCACTCCCCTATTTAAGTCCCCGCCAAGTGTTCCGGATGTCACTGTCAGGACTTCCCGTCCATTTCATTCTTAATTAAATAGCTGAGCGAAAATGATGACCGCCGCCGCGGAGGTCAACGGCGGAGGAGTGACACGATGGGAGCAAGAAAACTACCAGCTGCAACCTTCGGAACAGCAAATATTGACTTACTTCGCCGGAGAAACCAGGAGCAGCCTATGGAATAGGGAAGTTGGAAGTGGGCTGCCGGAGGAGACAGAAACGGAGAGCTCCAAGAAGAGGAAGGCTTTCAAGAGTCGCTCGCTGATGGTATGTTTTGTGATATCTATATTATGGGTATATTTGTACAACTTCAATGCAACAGTGTACATCACATTAGAGATATAGATAAAAGAAAAATAAATTGAGAATTTATTTTTCTTTCCATTTTTTCTTGGAGTAAATTTCAACAGGATATCTATTTATTATACGAGTATTTATTACTTAAAATATGGCAATAAGGCAATAAGGCAATAAGCAGGAATATATATTTATTATACGAGTATTTATTACTACGTAATTTTAATGTGTCTATCTCTATACCACATATGCATTGTGGATATTATTACACCGGAGATGTTCTTAAAATCTACATATTTCAACCGGTCTTGGTGTGCATGCCCAAGCGGCCAAGCCTGTGTATACATATTGCCAGAGGCGGATCTAGCATTTACGTTCAGGTGGGGCCAAAATTTAATTAAATAACGTATATTATAAAAAATGTCAAAATGTAGTACAATATAATAATATCTTAGAAGTCAAAATGTAAATTACAGAAATGTCAAAGAATAAATTGAATATTACAGAACCGACAATACAATTATCTTAAAAGTCATAAATATCGAACCGAAGTTTTATCAGTTACCCAAATGTTTAGTGTCAATTTTTAGGTTAGTTTCTCGGAAACAAGATAAACCGATTTTTTACTCTAAAATCTATACTCTATGTAAAGAAAACTTATTTTCACATACGAAATCCAATGTATTCAACTAATTAATTTTTCGGTCAATATTCAAAAGCCCAATGAATTAAACTAATTAATTTTTAGGACAATATTCAAAAAGTTCAATCAATTGAACTAATTGGTTTTTCAGACTAATAAAGCCCAATTAGTTGGACTACTTGATTTGTGTAAGATAGCATGTTCCTGGACTTGGATGGAAAATACAAAAAATATGCTGCTCCAGCTAGGAATCGAACACATAACCTCTACACTGACAATCACGTCTCTACCATCACACCAACGTAACTTTTGTTTACAATAGGACGTTTGTTCTAATTATACCATTTCTTCCCAGTACATATATATAATATATATACTAGTAATTTCTTTTTTTTTTTTTGCTTCCAAAAGAATGTTTGTATACACTTTTAGATTTCTACACAGGTCATTTTGTTTGGGTGCGTACATAGGCAATTTTCAAAGTTTTACATTTTTAGATAAATTTCCTATACATATAGATAAATGTTGGAGAAAATGAGATCCACCAACCTCTTCCAGGATCACGAGATCATATACTACCTCCGTTCTTAAATAAATGCAACACTTTGACTTTTACACTATTCACATGTTCTACTTTGATTACGTTTTATTTATTAATGTAATAATATTATTTTATAAAAAAATATTGTTAAACTTGTCTCATTGTAAATTTTCATAATCTAATTTTTTAAATTTTTTTACTAATACAAAATCATTTATATTAATGGTCAAAGTTGTGTCTCGGCAAGTGTGAAATGTTGACCGTTGCATTTATTTAAGAACGGAGGAAGTATATCACTCTAGTACACTTATTCACGTCCTCACAATACAATGATTCAATCTAACAATACAACTTTGTATTATACAATTGAAATGTACAAAAGAGATTTACGAGTAAACGAGTAGCTCACTTCACTCTTTGTATATGAGACTACTTCACTCTTATTCTCCTCTCTCAAGGAGACTCTCACTCACTCAAGAACTCTCCTCAAAGCTCTCTTTCATCACTCGATGAGGTATAAAGAATTTTTTAAGATAAATGTTTACACATTTTTTACACTAAAAATACAAAAGATTTTTTAATTTGGGGTAGGTCCGAGCCCGGTTCCCCCTCTCTACCTTCGCCCCTGACCACTACACGTCTAGGTTCTTCCAAGAAATATCCACTCTAATCTTCTGGAAGGATCTAAATAGCTACACATCTCTTCGGAATGTTCTAGAGGCTTTCACACACTTCCACAAGATTCTAGAGATCGAATTCCACACTCCTCTAGAAAACTCCGCTATATATGTTCTAGAATATTATACATTCATCCACACATTTCTAGATAATTTCACGCATATCTAAAAAGCTCTACATCAGTATTCTAGAACATTCAATTATTTTCTACACATATCTTAAGAATTGTAGACATCTTCGCAGTATTGTAGAACTCTGATTAACTTCTTAATTAAGGAGGGAACCTAACAATACACAAGAGCGGCATGCACAACAAACGTTTACAAATTTTATGTACAAAATAAACTTTTCTTGAAATCAACCCAATATATATAAATTCTTTTAGTAGAGCTCATAAAAATAGTTTCACTAATAAGTGTAAATAATAACTTCATTTTTATATTGTATCCGGATATTCTTGAAAAAATAGTGATAAGATTCGAGATTGAATCCAAATTATCATTTCGGAACTCAATATGCTTTGTTGAATTGTATTTAATGTTTATTTGATATAAACATATTCTTTACCAAGTTACTAGCTTGCGGATAATTTTCGATTCTTTTCCTGCTCGTTTTTATTGGTTCAGAAGCAGAAGAGCAAGAAAGAACCATCAATTTGCACATTAAATGGAAGCGAAGAGAAGAAAGGAGATTATATTCATGTCAGAGCACGGCGCGGTCAAGCCACGGACAGTCATAGCTTAGCTGAAAGAGTGAGTTTATTTCCATCAATTCCTTCCTATTCTGCTTAATTTCAGTAAAGATTAGAAGATCAGAAGCTTAATTAATTTAATTAGCAAAGCTAATATGTGTAACAAATTAAACTGCAGGTAAGGAGAGAAAAGATCAGTGAGAGGATGAAACACCTGCAAGATTTAGTGCCTGGGTGCAATAAGATCACTGGGAAGGCTGGGATGCTTGATGAAATCATTAACTATGTCCAATCTCTTCAACGACAAGTAGAGGTTAGTTGGTCGGTCCTAAATTACCCCACACATTTATTAGGGGTTATTATTATTATTATTATTATTATTATTATTATTATTATTATTATTATTTATTATTATAACTATTACGTACTATTATTATTATTATTATTACTATTATTATATTTTAAAGGGCGGATGACAAATAAGCCATTACTCATTAGGCTCCACAAAAGGAGTCATGGCTCGATCATATAAATAATTCATTTCCTTTATCATCTTTTAATTAATAATTTAATGTTCCCTTGAATTCTTTATTATAAAATGAATTTTGCATTCGTTACAACTTACAACGTGACAGTTCTTATCAATGAAACTTGCGGCGGCTAGTCCTGTCCTGGACTTCAACAACGTTATTGACAGTTTTTACAGCCAGGAGGTACATACAAATCATACGAATCAATTCCCATTTTCTTAGTCAATGATTAAAAAATGTTTCTCAATTCTAAGATATGTCTATCGTGTCTTTAGGGAAAAGGGTGAGGATCTCGAACTTACAAAAAAAATCAAATAAGGTCTTATATAGGAGGTTCTGTTGGCCGATGTGATTTGTGGCGGTTCCCGGTGGAATTTTTCAATGAAACTTTTTGAGCATCTTATTCATTGAGTGTAGTTTACTCATACCAATTTTCAGCTAAAACTTCAATCGGGAAGACATTCAAATAATTCTTGAAGATAAGTGCGCAGTTAAAAGCGCAGTTATCTTCAAGAATTTATTTGAATGTCTTCCCGATTGAAGTTTTAGCTGAAATCTAGTATGACTAAACTAGACTTAATGAATAAGATGATCACAAAATTTCATCGCAAAAGTCCACCGGGAACCACCCCAAATGGCGTCGACCGGACAGAACCTCCTATATAAGCCTTATTTGACATTTTTTTGTAAGTTCGAGACCCTATCTGACCTTATCCCGTGTTTTTATTATCTAATAAATAAAAGTAGTTATTGTTATATTTTGACATTACTAGACTTTAAATACGTAGTATGACAATAGTTTTCAAATGTGAAAATAATTTCTCTTATTTAGGAGGAAAACATGGCAGTTCTGTTTTGAACTCTTGTTTAATGTGTAGATGTTTGAAGCAAGTGGATCTAATTATCCTGCTCATCTTCACTTCGGTTCATTACCAGAATGTACTGAACTAGAAATCCGTCCAAATCCTTTGGGTATGGAATTTCGAAGAACAGTCAATACTCCAATCTCAATGCATGACAGAATACATGTGCACACCTCCACAGTAACTTGGGATGCAAATATACCCAACTTATATGGTACACAGTTTCATCAAGGAGGATCAAACTCCTCTCTTTTGCAACCATTTATGAGTAAGTTTAACAAACTCTTTTTTGAATGATAGTAAGCTCATTCTAGCTTTTTCTAAAAAGTTCATTTAAGAAAGAGACAAGTGAATGAGATAAATGGGCCAAAAGTGATACCAAACGGACCATGGAGTGAGTTTGTACACACATCATTAAAAGACCACAGTTATATTGTTTATATTCTCCTTCATACTTTATACACCCTCTGTTCCAAATTATTTTGCAAAGTCAACATTTTTTGGTCAACCAATAATAAAAATCAATCCTCCTTATAGATAATTAACTTAATTTTTAATAATTAAAATTTACATATTCAGAAACTACATCAAAATCTCTTTAAAGTTGCAAATTCCAAAATAGAATATAATAAAAAATTGACATCCTAATTAAGCAAATAAAATGAAATTGTTTGACCAAGAAAAGTCAATTTTGCAAATCAATTTGGGACGGAGGTAGTATGAAACTACGCTTCTTGCTTCTTGATCTTCTTGAAGTTTCAACTATTTTTCTTCTTTCCTACTTACTATGCCAAATTGTTGATTTATTTGGACTAAAAATGTTCAAGATCAATGAAAAAGTAAACAACCTTTTACTCTGATTATTTTGAAACCTATCAAACATGTGCATTTTGTTCAATTACTTCACTTTTCATGGAAAGTTGTCCTATTGTCCAAAAGAAATTGATTCTCTTGTCATTGTAAATTTAATCCCAATTTACACAAAAAAAAATGTTTCCTTATATTCAACACTTTTATTATATTCAGCCTTACTTTCTCTTTAGTACGTCTTTAACATTTTAAACGAATATGATAGATAGGATCACACTGAGCCACTAAGGAGTCATTCAATGTATGATTGAAATTAGACATAATAATAGTATGTGATATTGCTTCTTTAGGACAATATGGGTCGTATTTGAGGTAATTGAAAAAGTGTTTTTTCTTTATATAATGTTTTCCACCTAAAATGCACAACCTCTAAACATGTAGTATTATTATAATGATAAGTACCAAGATTTAGGCAATGACACGACCAACTAATATGGGCATTTGACTAGTCAAGACAAAATTGACCTATCGCCAAATAGACTTTTAGTGATGTATAAGCATTATTGAGATCTAAGAAAAAAGAGGACCCTAGCGAACCTCAACTTTTTGTAGGGAACAAAAATGTGGAAACACATGTACATTGAGGACCAGCTTTTAGCTGATACATATTAAAGTTCTTATTAAAGTTCCCAGTTTGACTTCGCACATATTAAGAATATAAATTTAACTTTACTGTGGAGTGCACTGTTTGGCACTGTTTGGCACTGTTTGATACTGTTTTGCATTGTTTTGTTTCCTAAAATGGAAGTGTGAACTTAAATAAGGGACATCCCAAAAAGGAAAGTGAGAACTTTAATAAGAATCGGAGGGAGTATAATTTAAAATACATGTATTTATACTACTTCCGTCCCGCAAAGAAGTTCTCACTTTCCTTTTATGGATGTCCCAAAAAGAAGTTCTCATTTCTACAAAAGGAAACCACTTTTAACCAAAAAGTCACAACTACCCTTACTTTTTACCCACTTTTTGTTTGATTTGACATAAAGTAAGGGTATACTTCAAAAGTGAAAACAAAACTCAACCTTACATAAATATGTGTGTAGGTCAAACTAGGAACTTCCTTACAGGACGAAGGGAGTATGAAAGAACTCTTCAATGAGTGGTCTATATATCCCCCTAAAGTATCTTTTGTGTATGATCCGATGTTTTTATTTGGAGTTATTTTAGTCTCACATTAGACTTAAACAAACCAGATCAGATCAAACAAAAGATAAACAAACTAGATCAGATTTCGACAATTGTTAAGTACCCATAGATCTGAAGTCTACCAACCAGATCACACGAGATTAGAGCACAACAGAAAACTTCAGTCCGATTAAAAATATTCTTAGAGTCCATCAATACTATTACGGAGTGTATTCTCAACCTAAATTTAATGTTGTTTGCAGACTCTTATGTCAATGAGTAAATCACATGTGTTTTGCAGGTTCCATAGAAGAAGGTAACACAAGCACGGCAATCTGAACAAATTGTAACTTTCGCACTGTTAATTTCTTGAATTTCAATAGTTAAAAATTCCTAATTTTCTTCCAATGGACATAATACGTGTGCTTGTATGATAAGTACATGTACTGTGTATATATGTCATAAATATTAGATGATGTTGCTATATATCAATTTTACTTATTCTCCCTAAATGAAATCCAACATTAAAAAAAAGTGTATTTGTGTGTAAATTGTATCTCAAATTATTGTTGAGCATGGTGTAGTTAGTGGGATCACCACAGCTCAGGTCCACTTAATTAAATTTCAAAAAAAAAAAACTCCATTTGTGTGTAAAAATAATTGCTCACCAATTTTATACTTCCTCCGTTCCATAAAAGTTACAACATTGGAATTTCCTTACTATTCACACACCTTACTTTGATTACGATTTTCTAATAATATACATAATAAAAATATTATGTATAAAATATTAATTAATTTGTATTAATGTAAATTTCCAATATATTAACTTTTTTAATGTTTACTAATACATAAATAAATATAATTACAGTGAAAGTCAAACTATTGCAATTTTTATGGAATAGAGGCTATACTTCGTATGGTTTTTTTACACATAATAGTTCATCCGGCTATTGTGGAAGTAGGGGTGGTTCGGTACGGTATACCGAATATTTTCTCTCATACCTTTACCGTACCAAAACTTTCGGTATGCAAAATTTATATATCGTTACCTTACCGAAGTTTCGGTATACCGCATTTCGGTATACCGAAGTTTCGGTTCGGTAACGGTACGATATCGGTAAATTACCATGCATGTCTCCCAATACAACAAATTATCATAGACTAACGAAATATGCTAAATCGGTGTTACTAGTGACATATTTATTTCATTATTAAAATTTTACAAATATAATTAATAATCTATTGATGTCATACTCAATATTGAACAATAATTATTATTAGTATATTTAAGCAGTTCAACATGCCACGTATTAAAAAACAACACATTCTCCTAAAATAACTTGAACGATATAGATATAATAAATCAATAGTGATCTCTAACAATAATAAATAAAATTATTCAAACAACATGGATATAAAATTATTTATTCCTAATACTACCTCTGTCCCAAAATGTTTAGCCAAATCTCAAAATTTGGACCATAGTTTTGATTAGTATAATATTATGAAAGTTATAAATTTTATACTTTTATGAAAGTACTTTTAACAAAGAACATTTTCATATAATTTTTATATTATAAATAATTTCCAATAAATATATATTAATCATCAAAGTTTTGGATTTGACTAATCATTTTGGGATGGAGGTAGTATGATATTGTGCATTTAGTCATTTTTATATTTTATTAAAAAATGAATAAGACTTTCGGACAAAGTTGTGTGCCTCGACTCGTGGAATCCCTATGTAGATACACATGTCACATAAGTGTACCTCTCTCCACTCATCAGCTACTCAGCGACTCAATCATCGCAACTCGCAAGCTCTTGGAACAAGATGAACTTGTTTTTGGAAATTAGTACATTACTATTTAGTCATAGGAGATTTGTAACCAATGTAAGTATTAATTTTGGGCTTCATAATTGTAATGGAGTTTTACAATACTCTAGAATTAAAAGTAATAATTGTTGGGTAAGGAGTCGTTAGTCGGTACGGTATTATACCGGTATACCGCGGTATTTGAAAACATTTACCGTTACCGTACCGAAATAAATCGGTACGGTATGATACCGTACCGAAAATGACGGTATACCAATATTCCGATATTTGTCGGTATTTTTCGGTACGGTAAGTGCGGTATACCGGTTTTCCGGTATTTTTGCCCACCCCTGTGTGGAAGTATTCGATTTGGACAACTAATGGTGAAATTGTACGTAATATATATACCGGTTGTACCTAAGGCATGATACAATCGGGGTTTTTTATAATTAAATCAACTTATAGGGTAAAAGTTAGGTTGATGACTGCTCCTTTTCTTTTTCCGCCGCCACTCTTCGGTTGATTTTCCCTCTTTTTTCGTTGATGGCAGCTACGGCTTTACTCCTTTTTCATCTTTTGTTTTCTCTTTGTTTTCGTTGCTTTTCACTTTCTTTTCTTGCTTTTGACTTTTTCGTGGCTTTTCGGTTTTCATTTGCTTTTGTTGTTTTCTTTTTTTAGTTTTTTCTTTTCGTTTTTTCTTTAACATGCTTTAATTTTTTATTCAATTATTATTCAAATGTATAATCTAAATTAATGTTTGAGTTTGTTTTTTCTTCTTTTTCTAATCAACCTTTTAATTTACTCTCTCCGGTTCTAAATAAACTTCATTGTTTGACTTTACGGTTTTTAAGAAAGTGGAATTATTTGTTTTGACTTTCCCTTTATAGCCCCCAAAAGAAAATTACCCCCTAGTATCCATAGTAAAAAAAATTGAGAGCATTCCATTAATATGGTGCGGAAGTGACTGACATCAAGTACAAGTACAGTACTTCAAACTTCCCTCTAAAGGAGAGTGGGTGTTTCGTTCAAGAAAAAAGGAGGGAATATGTATAGTTCCCTCCAAACTACAACTTGTACAAGTACAACACTACTTCTACATATTAATACATCAGATCCATTACACTAATTTAAAAGAAATCTTCATCTACTTTCTTCCTTCTTTAATGGAGGAGTCTTCTGTCATTAATATATCTGCCTAACCAATTGCGGACCCACATCCTGAAGAAGAATCTGAACCTGAAACTGCAGGACTAAACACACAGTTACTCCCTGGAATCATTGACTTAACTGAGGATGTACAAACAGAAGGGAAAGGGATCCAGTCAAGCGGGGCACAAAAATGGCCTAAGTTGACCTCTGAAACTCGCAACAAGATAATTGACAGGTTATTGGTTGAGGTTGTTGAAGGTAAACTTCAGAGGGGTGTGATAACAACACCAACATTTCATGATTTTCATGATTGTGTTCACATAGATGAAAAGTGGTTTTATTTGTCTAAAGAAAGTACCAGTTTTTACACCCTTCCCACAGAAGAAGATCCATACAGAACAACTCAATCAAAGAAATTTATTCCCAAAATCATGTTCCTGGCTGCAGTTGGCAGACCTAGGTTTGCTGACAATGGGGAGGTGAAGTGGGATGGGAAAATAGGGATATTTCCATTCACATATCAAGATACAGCCAAGAGATCAAGCAAAAATAGGGCTGCTGGAACTTTAAAAACCAAACCCATATTAAGTGTGACTAGGCAAGTAATGAAAGAAATGATACTCAACACCCTACTACCAGCAATCAAATCCAAGTGGCCACACACAACAAACAAGGAAGTCATCATACAACAAGACAATGTTAGGCCTCATATTCAAATACATGATGCAGACTTTATTAAAGCAGGAACAGAGAATGGATGGGATATCCAACTACAATGTCAACCCCCTAATAGTCATGATTTAAATGTTTTAGACCTAGGTTTCTTTAGCACTATTGATTCCATAAAGGATCAAAAGGCCCCAAAAAATATCTTGGATTTAATTCAAGCAGTGCAAGTATCATATGAGGAGCTGACACCTCAAACACTGAACAAAGTGTTTTTGAGCTATCAATATGTAATGGAAGAAATCTTAAAGCGTAGAGGAGGCAACAATTTCAAGCTCAAACATGTGGGGAAGGACAAGTTACAAAGACAAGGGCTGCTACCAAAAAATGTCTAGATCTCCCCTGACTTGTATCAAACAGCTAAAGGATTCATGGATGGACAAATGGCAACAAATTCAGGCAGTACAAGTCAAGGGACTCAGTTCATACATGAAGATGAACAACATCTTCAAGCATGAAGTAAATACCCTACTTGGTCTAGTTTTTGAACCTTTATGTAAGTGCACTAAGCTTATAAGTAATTGGGGGTACTGTTTTTGTATGTACAATCATAGGCATGGGAGTACAAGTTTTTAATGTCCCCCACTGCTAGTGTACACTTTTTGTCTAAACAGAAGCAATTGAAGCATATTTTAATGCACATTTAGTACAAAGAGACCACAGACTCATCACAGATTCATCATTTGTGTCTTAATATCGGCAAACATAGATAATCGTGCTCACAATTTACACATATCATATGTTAACACACCTCAAAATCACCACATACCAAGCACTTTTACATTACAGGTATTGTAGCATAAGCAAACACAGCTAATCATGATCACAGGTTACATATCCTATGCTAAATCACCTCAGAATCATCACAAACTAATCACATTTACATCACAGGTGAGTTATGCATAGGCAAACACAGCTAATCATGACCACAGGTTACATATCCTATGCTAAAACACCTCAGAATCATCACATACTAATCACATTTACATCACAGATCACAGGTGAGTTATTATAGGCAAACATTGAAGTTTATTTAGGACCGGAGGGAGTATAATCATCATCACTGGTTACAGATCCTAAGAAATCACACCTCAAAATGGATATATAGTAATCACAATTTACATCACAGCTCTTTTAGCATAGCAAACACACCTCAGAATCATCACAGATTCATCATAGGTATTGACAGTATTGTACCATAGGCAAACACAGATAATCATGCTCAGAGGTAACACATCCTTAGCATAGGCAAACACAGATAAGCATGACCATGGGTTACATATCCTAGGCAAGCAGAACTAATAACCAACTTAATAGCATTCCCAGACACACAAACACCCATCACAGTTCAATCACAACCCTCAAATCATCATTAGTTACACATCATGCCAAACCGTTCAATCATCATGCAATGGCCCGACACAACACCCCCTCAATAATCATAAGTCCATACAACATCAAATACACAAAGAGTAAGGGTTCAAAGATTACTGTCCTTAAGGAGTTTGTTGGTTGTCGTCGTCGTCCCCACCACTGCCGTTGTCTTCCCCAAAGCCACCGTCGCTCTCTTCTCCATCATCCAGTCCTGGTCCCGAGTTCACTTCTTCTCCATCTTCTGAATCCAGGCCTTCCAAACCGTCGAATGTATTGGAGACAAGGTTGGATCTGTATTTCTTACGCAAACGCCAGTTCGAATCAGTTTCAGGTGAGCTTTCAGAACCAAATCGACTTATGAATGGTCTGAACGGAACTGAGACGTGGTTTGCATTTGCATGTGAAGCTTTTGCTTCTGGATCTACCCATGACTTACTCTCGGATTGTGAGGGTCCAAGGTCTGCAGTGTGTGCATGGGTTTGGGAAGTTGGTTCGCCTTAGGGTTTTCAGGGGTGGCTGC